TATTTTTTTTAATGTTATTGATTTCCACCTGACTTACCTGATGTAACACCTTAGTGAACTAACCTTAATTAGTTCTTCTTATTCTTGTCATTATTATTTCAAATAGTGATAGTATGATTATTATTGCTATTTTGTTAAAGAGAAACTTATAAAATGAGAGGATAGAGAGAGGTAGGGAGGGAGGGAGGGAGGGAGGGGAGAACTGACATAAACTCTACGGTCACCAGTATCCACATTTCACTAACTCACTATTCATAATATTTATCAATTATTAGTTTCTATTATTTTCTGTTGTTATTATATTTCCACAATTTATTATTATCTTTATTTTATTTATTCGTCTGTTTGTGTGTTATGGTTACTTTTTTTATCACCTATCTCTGTTTTTACTGTTTTATTTTGTTTATATATTTGTTTGTTTTAGTTTTGTTTTATATATAAACGAAAAATGGTGATATGAAAACAACGTGTCGTCATGAAATCTGATGCTGTGATTGGCTGATTAGTGTCTGGAGGATATACTTCAGTGACGTCACATACCTACATCACGATAGCTTGAACCTATAATTGGGTTACGAGTTTCTAGAAAGGGCACATCAATGACGTCACATACCTATGATTGGCTGATATGTCTCTGGAGGATGAACTTCGATGACGCCACACACCCACATCAAGACATCCTGGCGCTGTGATTGGCCTACGACCCACATCCACCTCAGGTAAATTTTAATAAAACTTTATACTACTTTAATACTTGTGGATATTATTATTAGGTAACACGACTCTCCAACTATGGGTTTCCAAAGTGTGATTTTGATGTTAATGTGTTATTCTGTAAGTACTTAATTAGTTAAACCTCTTATATAAAGGCTCGCCTCGCAAGCGGACTGACCCGGGTTCGACCCCCGGGCAGGGTGAAACTATGGGCAAGTTTCTTTACGCCATTTGCCTCTGTCTACCCAGCAGTAATTGGGGACCTGGATGTTAATCGATTTGTGGATCGTGTTCCGGGGTAATGCTTAGCTAGTGCAGTTGGCGAGTTGTCCGGTCTTCTCGGACTATTCCTTGACACTCGGTCATGCAGCTCGTTAACTCAGGATTTGGTTGTTGTGTTGGCGACAGCTTCTACACCTTAAATAAATTCACGCCTAGGTGGCCCTTCGGCCGGCCATCCTCGTTACACGAGGGGCAACCATTATTATGTGTGTGTGTGTGTGTGTGTGTGTGTGTGTGTGTGTGTGTGTGTGTGTGTGTGTGTGTGTGTGTGTGTGTGTGTGTGTGTGTGTGTGTGTGTGATGTGTGTGTGTGATGTGTGTGTGTGTGTGTGTGTAATATATGTAATAATAATTAACGGTTTATTGAAAGAGCTTGGCAGCCAGAAGGCTGAAAATATACAGTTACATATTTGGGGAATGGGTTACGAGTTACAAATAATATACAAGTAACATAAGTGACACAAATAAGACATATAATAACTTAGATGGGGATCAGCTCAAACTACAGTTCATTTCAACATAGTGACAGTGTAAGGAGCAGTGTTTACCGGGAGTGAATACACTGATTTATTACATGTTATTGATAATTTTTACAATGGTTGGGACTGGGCTGTTCTTATAGCGATCGGTTCGTGCACGGATGGGCTGGATGCGGTTGTGGTGTCGAACAGCAATTCTCGGACAGGGGATGTCAGGTGGTAGTAGGAGCCGGTGTCGGGGATGGTGTAGAAGCTTCTTACCAAATTTGCGGATAAGGTCGTGGTGATGGTCAGTGAGAGTCGAAAGGGTCAGTGTGTTGAGCGCTTCTTGATATGTGGAGTAGGAAGAGGAGAGAATAATTTTGCATGCCCTCTTTTGCACTTTTTCTAGGTGTTTACGTTGTGTGGCATTTAGGGAGGAAGACCAGGTGGGGGAGGCATAGGTGAGCTTGGGAAGTATGAATGTTGTGTATACACTGAGGAGCTCGTGTGCAGGAACTCCGAGGGACTTGAGTCGGCGGAGGAGGTGGAGACGGAAACTGGAGGATTTGACAACTTCACTGACGTGTGGTTTCCAATTTAGTTTGTTGTCTATGGTGACGCCGAGGAGCTTCGTGGAATCTACAACCTGGAGTGTGTTCGGACCTAGGGTAATGGAAGGAGGTGGGACAATGTCGGAGGAGAGGTTGATGTGCATAACCATTGTCTTGGTATGGTTGATGGTGACATGGTTGTTGGTGGCCCAGTTTTGGAGACTGTTCAATAAATCCTGAAGGGCGGTATAGTTGGGAGCGGAATTGTTGACGCTGATCCCAATGGTGGAGTCGTCGACATATTTCCAGCGAGCAGGGGTTTCTCTTAGGGCATCATTGATGAGCATAAGGAAGCAGAGTGGTCCCATCTTGGTGCCTTGGGGACGCCACAGGTGAGTGACTGAAAGGTGGAGACAGCCCCTCGGAAGCGTACAGCTTGGCGTCGGTCACTGAGGAAGTCTGTAAGCCATGGTATGAGACTTCTCCGAAGCCCGAGGTCAATAGCTTTGTTTATGATTATATTGTGGTCGACTAGGTCGAACGCTTTAGTGAAATCAATGAAGGCGACAGCTACAGACGTTTTTCGTTTCTCGAGATGGCGGTATATGTAATCGAGAAAGCTGACAAGACAGTGTGTGTGTGTGTGTGTGTGTGTGTGTGTGTGTGTGTGTGTGTCCCACTCACTCCTAGTCTCCCGCCTCCCCCCTTTATTATATTTTATCACTCTTCTTTACTAACTCTTCATTTTTCATGTTCCTTTCCTTATTATTCAGTTTATCTTTTATCCTCTCCTTCTTTCTCTCTTTACTTTCTTCCTTCTCTCCTTCGCTCCTTATCTTCCCTCTCTCCCCGCCTTCCCTCTCCCCCTCCTTCCCTCTCTTCCTACCTTCCCTCCCCTCTCTTCCTACCTTCCTCCCTCAATACTCTTACATTTCCCTCTCACTTCCATAGTTCTTCCTTTATTCTCTCCTCCCTCCTTCCTTCCTTCCTCCCCTTCCCTCTCCGCCTCCCCCCTCTCTCTCTCCCCTCCCCCAACCTAAACTAAGCACCATTTCTTACACAAGATTAATTTCCCATTTACCAATTTTCTCTCCTATTTTTCGTATTAATTGTTGAGAGACCAAACCCTCGCCTGGGAAATAATAACACACAATTTATGGTGATCCAATTACTGGGTCCATTTTTTCCATTTTTCCCCGATTATAGAGGTAGGCAAATTGTCCTCTCTACCCCCTACCCCTCCTTTACCCTCCCCACACCACCCTACCCCCCCTCTCCCCTCCCCCACGCCACACCTCTCTTGTCCCCTTCCCCCACCCGTTTCCGCTCACCAGTGCAGTTGGGGAGTAGTCCGGGCTTCTTAGTGTATTCCTTAACACTGAGTAATGAAAATCCTTAACTTACTTCCCTCACTTCAGTCTAGATATCTACTTTCTCTCACTTACTTTCCCTCACTTCAGTCTAGACATCTACTTTCTCTCTCCTTGGTGTAGACGCCTACTATCTCTCACTTACTTTCCCTCACCTCACCTCACCTCACCTCACCTCACCTCACCTCTCCAAAGGGGGAGGACTCAGGAGCTTACAAGAGGCGCTGGCAGAATAATAATCTTCCTAGTCACGATGTTTATATTCCCTCAGGATCTGTCTCAGTGTACATCCTGCACCCTGACGAAGGAGCCGCCTGACGAAGGAGCCGCCTGACGAAGGAGCCACCTGACGAAGGAGCCGCCTGACGAAGGAGCCACCTGACGAAGGAGCCACCTGACAGAGGAGCCGCCTGACAGAGGAACCACCTGTAGAAGGAGCCGCCTGACGGAGCCACCTGACGAAGGAGCCGCCTGACGGAGGAGCCACCTGTAGAAGCAGTGAAGACGTGAGCTTTGATTTGCTACCGGAGGCTGGTGATGTAATTCCCTGGAGGGTGGGGCTGGATGGTGAATATGTAGTAGTAGTAGTAGTGGTAGTAGTAGTAGTAGTAGTAGTAGTGGTAGTAGTAGTAGTAGTGGTGGTGGTGGTGGTGGTAGTGAAGATGTAGTAGTCGTAGTAGTAGTAGTCGTAGTAGTATTAGTAGTAGTAATAGAGGAACATTTGAGATCGTCAGGGAAAGTCATCACTTCACTCCCCAGGCGAAAGAATTGAATCAATTTCTATTTGTGGGAGAAAGAGGGAAACTGATGAAAGAGGGAAGGGGAGAGATAAATTGAGACAAAAAGAGATAGATGGAGAACTATCAGGAGAAAGATAACTGGAGGAGAATGAGAGAGATGAGGGGAGAAAGACAAAGGAAGAAAGATGGAGGAGAATGAGAGGCGAGGAAAGAGAAATAGAGGGAGAAAAATAAAGATGAGGGGAGGTGAATAATAGAGATAAGAGAAGAGAGAAACAGAACAAGAGGAGGAATAAAATAAAGGGTAAGAGGAATACAGATAACAAAATAGAGAGAGAGTGAGAGAGATTTCAAGTGACAATGGCGGTTTATAGGTTAATATTTCGGCTACTTGTATCAGGCATTGAGACACACAATATATTTTCATTACCAACCAATATGTTTCCCGTCTGTCTTATGTGGTATTAGGAAATGGAAGAGGTAGGTGGTGGTGGGGGGGGGGGGGGGGGTTAATATACGCGTGACGTTTATGTCGATCCGGCCAATGGCGTAGAAGTATGTGGGAGGTGGGCGTGGTTTAGAAGGGGGTTCTGGTTCCTGGGAAAAATTGCATCACGCCTGAGAGAGCCTGTATATATGTGAGGGTTAGTGCTAATGCTACCCTTAAGTGGTAGTCATTCTCTCTCTCTCTCTCTCTCTCTCTCTCTCTCTCTTCATGGCTTGTTTAGCATCTTTTAACTAATGAAACAGGACCAGCATCATCAATCTGCGACAAAAACAAATGGTAATAAATTCTAGTTAAGTCACCCTCGTAATCTTTACCATGTCTTCCCGTTCTCACACGACACCTGGCGGTCAACTTAGCGAACTACACTACCTAAACACTGGGTCGGGTGGGATGGTGACTTCAACTTGTATTTCAGCTGTGTTCGTTATCCCAGAGCCTTTATTGATTTAAATTATCAAGCTATAGTGTCTAATATAGCAGACGAGTCGATTACTTTACGATGAATTGATAAGGTAAGAGCTGGTAGTTGTTATTTACGCAAGACTCGAATCAAAAATGTATAGCCGGTCTCACTCGGCCATTGAATTCTCTTCCATATTTTAATCTCAAATTGTGACTTTTCTGGCTTATTTTATCATTTTTTGTGTGTTTGTTTGTTTATTATTAGAGCTTTCTGGATGAGGTAGATGCAGTGAGTCGTGTGTTTGAGGAAAAATAAACGTGAAATTAATGTTAGAATTACGTCAACTCTGCCGTCCACATATCCTCCACCACACCGACGTAATTTTCAATATTACATTATAATTTAGCGGTCAATTCTTCCTCAGATCTGACACAGTGTATTAAAGGCTTCAATTATTCAACAGAGAGCAGACGGGAGTTGTTTGCTGACCAACTGAGTGAAGATTTGAAGTAAAACAAGAAGGAATAACATTGCTGCCATCTTGTAACCCCAGGGAGGAAGACAGTGTTTACGGCCAACAACCATCCAGGTATGTTAATGGAGAGGCTTAATGAGTCTTTATGTGGTAGAATTGATAGGTAGATACATCGTGTGGCGGGGTTATGTTAGATGTGGCGGCATATATGTGTTTGTTGACATTATAATTTGCTCCGCGCCTGACCCCTACCTCCCCCCTCCCCGACCCCACCTCCTCTCCCCACCTCCCCGACCCCACCTCCCTCTCCCGACCCTCCCTCTCCCCGACCCTCCCTCTCCCCTACCCTCCCCCCTTCCCTAATATTTTAAGAGATCCAGAATATTGAAACAAATTACCTTACATTTATGGTTGATTACATAAACAAAGAAATATAAACAACAAACAATAATTTAAACTGGAGTAAAGATTAAAAAAAAACGTAAATAAATGAGAAAGTTAAATAGAATCAAACGGACGTGAAAATTAAACAGAGAAAATGAGGCTTTTAGATTCTTTTCATTTTATCTCCAAAGCAGTTTACGAGAGCACTTAAAAAAACACGTCAAGAAATTTAACATTGTGGCGTGGAGAGGAGGTACTAAAGGTGAAGGATGGAGCATTGGTGAGGGAGAGTTGATGTGTTGGTGAGGGAGAGTAGTGTTGGTGAGGGAGATTGATGACAGTGTTGGTGAGGGAGAGTAGTGTTGGTGAGGGAGATTGATGACGATGTTGGTGAGGGAGAGTAGTGTTGGTGAGGGAGATTGATGACTGTTGGTGAGGGAGAGTAGTGTTGGTGAGGGAGATTGATGACGATGTTGGTGACGACGTTGGTGCTGAGCTTTATTGTTAGCTATGATTGAAATATACTGGTTGACATACATACATACATACATACACACACACATACATACATACACACATACACACATACATACATACATCTCGATAAAACCACACAGGAAAAGGGAAACAATGGAGCACCTTAGCTACCGACCGTCTTTATTCAAGACATCTTCAGAGGCAACTGAATTTAGTCAGTCAGTCAGAACACCGAGATATGAGAGCGGTGGCTCTGAGGTGAACAAGGAGATTTAGGGCAAGGTATAGTTAAGAAGTGGGAAGACGTCCCTCAGTCCTCCAGGGGCAAGGGAGGATAGATAAACTAAGCTAAGCTAGATTAAAGTGCGATCCAAGGGAATGTGATGTTTTGGGGTTTATTGGAGGGTCCCTTCAGGTCCTTGTGTTGCTGAAGGGATGTTCCTCATCTTTTGTGAATTTATGATGATGATGATAATGGAGATAAAATGGCAATGGTTTGCCATGGGAAGGGAGAGAAGAGGTAAGGTAGAAGGGAAGTTATGAAACGGGAAGTAAAGTAGTAGAGAATAAGAGCAGGTGGGCTATCCACCTAGCAGAGACGATTTGATTGGCTGTGGTGAAGGCCGCACTAAGAGGTCGCCCGAGCTCGAGGGAACAGGGGGGAGGAGGCTAACCTAGCTAGCAAGGGGTTGTTTGTTATTGTGTTAGTTGGAGAGGTCTACTAGGTCCTTGTGTAGCTAGTAGAATACTCTCTTCTTTTGTTTACTGTTTAGTGTACAATAGTTGTGGTTCTTGAGGGTTGTAGGCCACCAGTTGTGTGATCTTGTGGTGTCCTCTGTTTTTAGTCTGTTATATATTTCGTCTTCCATGACTTCTAGTTTGTACCATACTGCCTGTGCTTGGCTGTATGTTCTTATGTTCTGTGGTAAAATGTTGTATTTTTCGTGAAGCTCTTTAATTTGGGTTGTGTATGGGGGACGTTGTTTGGAGGCTCTGCGGATGGCTTTGTTCTGTGTTGCCTGGAGTTTTAATTGGTTGGTAAGGCTGATCGTGTTTAATGGTATTGGCGGGTATTCAAGATGGGGGCGGACAAGTGCTTTAAATAGGTGTAGTTGTATTTTCTCTTCCATTTTGCCGAATCTTCTTAATTTGGTAAGCTGTATTTGGGCTAGTCTATTGCGTTCTGTTATGTGTTTATTTATTCCTGTTCTTGGTATTGATAGCCCCAGTATTTTTCCTTCGTTTGAGTATTGTATTTCTTCGTTGTTTACTGTGATTGGTGCTGGGTTTATCCTTGACATGTGTATGATTTTCAGTTTCTGTGTATTAGTTTTTATTTTCCATTTCTTCTCGTAATTATTGATTTGTATTATGGCGCGAGCTGTTTTTGATGCCATCATCTGTTTGGCCTTGCCTGGATGGCGGATGATCTGGGTGACATCATCAGCATATGCAATGTATTCACCGTGAATTGGTGGCGGCATGTCTGAAGTGAAGAGTTGGGGATAAGTTACTTCCTTGTGGTACTCTACTGAAGCTTGGGCCTGTGTGGTGGCCTATTATAATGTGTGCTTCTCTATGGTCTAAGAGAGGTGAAGTTGTTAGGGAGTTCTTGTTTGGTTATTTTATATTTAAGTCCCAAGTGCCAGACCTTATATACACAGGGTGACCTTACAAAACATCAGGTCAGGTCAATAACATAAGATCCACTAATCCACACACCACTTCCACTGCACACGAAAGAGCTTATAAAATATGAGCGACTTAATAAGTCAGGTCATGTCAGGTTAAAAATATGAGACCCACTAATCATCTACCTCAAATGCTTTTAAAGCCTTTTTAACCTTGGGCCACTGACAAATAAATTTGTGTATCGTGGTGGCTCTTCTTCTGTCCAACTGTTAGATTGGGTGGAATCAAAGGCATTCATCTTATTAACTCTCCTTCTTTAGTTGATAATCTCTCTTCCCTGTCTCTTCGCCGCAATGTTGCTTCACTCTCTCTTTTACAGATACTTTAACGGGCAATGTTCGGTGGATTTGGCATCCTGTGTACCTCCGGCAAGGCCGTGGGCTCGTAACGCACGTCTTGCCCGCGGTGCCCACCGTTTCTCTGTGGATATCGGTCACACTATAATAACCTGTTATAGGACAAGGACACCCTTCTTTCCTCACACAGCCAAACTGTGGAATGCTCTGCCTCCTTCTGTGTTTCCATACTCATGCTGCAATGTCTCACTTTAAAAAGCTGGTTTTCCGGCCTCTTCGTGGTGTAGATTAATATAACCTTTTTCTTTTATATTTTCTTTTTATTCTTATCCCCCAGGCCCCGTTGTGGGTCGATGACCTGTGCCCGGGTGGGCTATTCTCTAAAAAAAAAAGTTAACACTTCAATATATATTCAAGGTTGGGCTGTTGTTAATTAACATTCCAGTAATAGTTGAGTCATACTTAATAATAACATTAATGTTTAATATTTTAAGGGATTGGACTAACGGGACAAATTCGTTACTATAAGGTAGCCCAAATGTTCTTAACTGTAGGACCTTGTCTAGTATGAGTACAATAAAGGGATTTTCTTTTAGTCCTTTCGACCTTAGATTGTCACCTTGGAGAATCCAGATCCTTCCGTTCTCTCTTCCCGTTGGCTCAGTTAAGGTTGTGTGGCCGCCAAAGGCACCATTACTCCTGGTTCACTCAGGCTTCATATGCCCCTTGGTATCCCGTTCAACTTTAAAGAAGATGGACTTGTCAGGTCTTATTTAAATATGCAAATTAGCTGAGTTCTTAAGGTCGACTTGTCAGGAGAATAATTTAACATAGGAATTACTGAGAATTCATCTTTAATTTTACAGCCTAATTGAGGCAGTTGAATGTCTTTTGTTACCTTCATTTACCAGAGTCAAGTTAACCAATGAGCCTTTGAGAATCTGAGTGGCTGAATGTCGTAGTTAACAAGTTAGATGTGGTCTTATTATCTTATGTTAAAGGGAAAATTTAACATGGGTCATTCAGAAGTCCAGTGGTAGTAATATGGTGATGATGGATGGTGGTGATGATAGTAATGTGGTGTTGATGGATGGTGGTGATGATAGTAATGTGGTGTTGATGGATGGTGGTGATGATAGTAATGTGGTGTTGATGGATGGTGGTGATGATAGTAATGTGGTGATGATGGATGGTGGTGATGATAGTAATGTGGTGTTGATGGATGGTGGTGATGATAGTAAGGTGGTGTTGATGGATGGTGGTGATGATAGTAATGTGGTGTTGATGGATGGTGGTGATGATAGTAATGTGGTGTTGATGGATGGTGGTGATGATAGTAAGGTGGTGATGATGGATGGTGGTGATGATAGTAATGTGGTGGTGATGGATGGTAGTGATGATAGTAATGTGGTGATGATGGTGATATTAGTGATAGTGAGTTTAGTGATGGTGATGATGGTGGTGGTGATTTCTTGTGGAAGGGAAATACCATACTTAAAGATATGTTACATCAGTTAGATAAATTATTATTACTACCACTACCATTACCACTACTGTTATGAATGTTACTACAGGTATTATTATTTTTAGTACTGTAGAAGTAGTGTTGTTGCTATTATTATTATTATTTTATTATTATTATTATTATTATTATTAAAAATCTCACTCGCTAGAAGTTAACATTACTCATTCAAGGTCTGGGATCAAAAGCTATATTATGGTATGTAAATTAGTCTCGAAAATGAATGAATTAATTATATATTTTAATTATATGTGGAATTTACACACACCTGCTGTACATTATAATACCTGAACAGTTTTTAAGTGTTAATTACGGATTATGTTGTTAATGAGTTTGGGGATTATTTTGTAACACTGGGTTGATGTCTGTCTGTCTGTCTGTCTGTTTCAGTCTGTCTGTATTTCTGTCTCTGGTTGACGTCATCATCAAATACTACCACACTATGCTCTGTTACTATAAATATTACGCCAATACAGCCATTTGTTCCGCCTGGCGATCCCTTCCCCACGTGACAGTAGATTGTACTTTAAAAATAACACGCGTTGGAAGAGAGAGAGAGAGAGAGAGAGAGAGAGAGAGAGAGAGAGAGAGACTATCACAAAAACACAGAATGCAATATAACAGAAACGACAAAGAGAAACAGGCAATGGAACACGACACAATCCATCACTCCCAACACACACACACACAGTTCAACAAGGCTCGACCTTCTCTACACCACAAAGGATGAACTACACAGGCAA